CAATATTTTTCTTTGATCTGCATTCTTAGTTAAGTGCATTCCTTTAGTATTTTAAATATATAAGCACGATAACCTGCTGGATAGAATGAAAAACCACAGGTAAATGCAGCTGGTCTAAATAAAATATATCTAAAGTGTACTCTCATTTTCTATCATATAGTCCTAAAACATTGACTATTCTTTTCTTCTATTAACAACATTAAGCAATACTTTTCCCATTTTCCTTTTAGACAGGTTAATAGTAACTGATTGATCCATTCTAATAAATGAAAAGGAAATCTCAGCTCCTCAGAGACTAACATCTGAAGGAATAATCAGAATAAATCTTATAAAAGATTTTTAGTTTAATTATAATTGTTTCATTTTAAATATATATGTATCATCATTGTCCCCCAGTTGTATCCAAACCCACAGTTGCACTTTGAAATATACATGTTGAGTATATATTTATTTTTAATATGCCAGTATGATTTTAGAGTAAAATCTTTCAATGCTTACTATGTCTATAACTTGAACTTAACTTTTAAAATCTTATTGTAATAGGTAATTTGTTCTGAGTTTCTTAATGACAAGGATACTAAAAGTCTTCCAAATATTAGCTTTGAACTTTGAAGTATTGATACTGTTGATCAGTTGAATAAAGCACACAGAGGACAGGCTTTCAATTTCTTTATTATAGAGAATATGGACTTTCTGAACATGCATGATAATTTATGCCATATATTTTCCAAACTTGACAAGCCATGGTGACAGATAATAGGAAATGCTTGAGTATTTGTATTTTGGCATTGGATGGTAATTGGATGACAAATGTTTGGAAAAGGACTAGAGAAAATAGTGGCTTTTTTGTAGTCTCAGGCAGGCAATAAAGACATACCTGCCCCGTTATATTTAGTTTGTTTATTCTCTCTCTCTGTCTCTTTCCTTTCTTCCCTCCTTCCCTCCTCCCTCCCTTCTTTCTTTCTTTCCTTCTGTCCTGCCTTCCTTCTTGTTCTTTCTCTCTCTATTACTCTCTCTCAGGATTAATGAATGAGGGAAATGAAGACTTAGCTGTTACAGGCTATCCTTTGAATCAGGTGGGAGCAACAGGGCACATACTCTAGAATCACTGACTAGTCTGGAGTCTGCATTAGTACCAGCTCTGGTAGGCCAGACCAACTCACTGAGTCTCTCACTCTGTGCTTAGGCACAATTTATACCATTCCTTTTTATATTCATTCTACCACCTTTTATTGAATAAATACTATGTGTAGTATATGAGTTACTGGAGATGTTAAAGGAAAAAAACACATATGCACACATGTTTTTAACTTAGTTGATTTACGTTTGAAAGAGGAGAGTCTGTAAGTAAGCAATTACAAGTATAGAGCCCATGTGGAAAGCTGGTATTGAACATAAAACTACTTAGAGACTGGACTCAACATGTCATCATGTCCCAACCCTTTCACCATTATCACCAAAGCAACTGCAACTCTGGAAGCATTCTGGTGTGGAATGTATTTTATTTTTCTATATCTGTAATCACTTCTTTAAGAGCGGAGGATTCCGTTTTATTTTCTAGGCCCATTATCTCTCTACTTCGTCCACTTACCCCACTTTCTCCCTTCCTCCTCTCTAATATCCTTTATGGGCTCAGGTGATTTTTGTGCTGGCCCTCAACTTGCATCTGCCACTCAACAATAGTGAAAAAGTGGCCAGGCTTAAGGAATCTTCCTTTAGGAATATTTCTTCAACTTAAGAGCATCTCAGGTCATAACTCTAGCAACTTGTAAGTAAACGTTCTCTCTTTTAAGGGCAGGGGCTGAATTTTCCTGCTAAGAAAATTAGACTTTCTTTGTCCTAGTAACTAAAACAAGATACTTGCTTTTATAAAGGTGTGTGGAAAATGAAATAGAAGATGGAACAATCAGGGAGGACTTCATAGAGGAGGTAGCCATTGAATTGCAATTTCGTGGTTGAATAACAGTAGAAACTATCTAGGCCATTGTCTCCAGCCTTCTTCCTTCCTCTGAACCACTTTCCATGCCAATACAGCCCTACTTCTCCTTTCATCCCTCATCTAGCTGACCATGTTTGTCCCCTCTCAAGCAAACTCATACACTTATATGGCCCACATTTTTCCTGTTTTGTTTTGTTTTGTTTTGTTTAAAAAAAAAAAAAAAAAAATGGAGTCTCGCTCTGTAGCCTAGGCTGGAGTGCAGTGCCGCAATCCTGCTCACTGCAACCTTCGTCTCCCAGGTTCAAGCAATTCTCCTGCCTCAGCCTCCCTAGTAGCTGGGACTACAGGCGCGTGCCACCATGCCCACTTAATTTTTTTTTTTTTTTGTATTTTTAGTAGAGACGGGGTTTCACCGTGTTAGCCAGGATGGTCTTAATCTCCTGACCTCGTGATCTGCGCGCCTCCGCCTCCAGTGTTGGGATTATAGGCGTGAGCCACCGCCCCTGGGTTCGCCGGCTTAAAGTGAAAAACGGAATAAAACTCAGAGTTTCTTCAAATGACCACGGTGTCATGGGTGGGGAATGCTATGTATGTGTTTGGAGATGTAGCAGGAGAGTGGTAGAAAGGGCAAAACAGAAGACCACAGGGAGGGATTAGTTGAAGTGTCAGAGGCAAAGGCACAGAGGACTTGTGGAGTTAAATATTTGCCTTTCACATGTGTCAGTGACTTATGCATAAAGATTTAGCCATGGAATACGGAACATTGCCAACAAATCCGAATAACCAAAAGATATATTAAAAATAATCGTAATTTGACTGGGCATGGTGGCACACGCCTGTAATCCCAGCACTTTGGGAGGCTGAGGTGGGCGGATCACTAGGTCAGGAGTTCGAGACCAGCCTGACCAACATGGTGAAACTCCGTCTCTACAAAAAAATAAATTAGCCGGGCGTGGTGGCGCGCACCTGTAATCCCAGATGCTTGGAAGGCTGAGGCAGGAGAATCGTTTGAACCAGGGAGGCAAAGGTTGCAGTGAGCAGAGACCATGCCACTGCCCTCCAGCTTGGGTGACACAGCAAGACTGCGTCTCAAATTAATAATTATAATAATTTATACTTTATGTAGACTGTTTCATTTTTTCTAGTTACTCTGATGAATATAATGCATATTCAAAGCACTAAATGCCGTAGTAATTTTTTAACAAATTTTCTTTAATCTTAAAAGTAATTTTTAAAAATTCTCAATCAATACCTTCAGTAGTAACATTCAACATCAAACTGGTCATTATATCTGCCTATCTTAATTTTACTATCTCACATTTAGGAATCTGGATTTTCAGAGAAGAAATACCAGAGAACAATTATTCATCTTATCAAGGATTCATTCAAGAATTCCATTAAATCATAAGCTCCTCTAGGAATTTATAAAATTTGTATTTATTTGAAACTTTTTAAGGGAGAAAATTGTTATAAAAAATGAAAACATGTGATTCTATTTTTTCCTATAATTTCCAGACGATATTTAAGTATTAGTCTTATGTAATGTGCACAAGAAATGCCAATTCCCCAATGAGATTTTTTTCAACCCATCAGAGTTGGAATTAGTCTTTGTCCTTCCTGTGCTTTCGCTAAACTTTTATTTTTTAACCTCTTTTAGTGTTTACCTCCTTTTATCCTTCTATCCATGTTTGTTTTACACATGCTGCCTCCCCAGCTAGTTTTTTGAGGTCTAAGCTATGTTGTATCCATTTTTCTTCCTCTATCATTCATAGCAAAATACATGAAACATAGTAGATATATAATAAATGCTTGCTAATGTGCAGGTAGTAGTAATAAAAGTACGTATTGGAATTTAAACATAGAAATTGAAGGAAATTGGATAAGAAAAAATATTTGATAACAAATGCTGTATTAGGAGTTATTTTAGGAATGACTTAAGCTAGGTCTCTGTTCTTCGGAGTTAATTCCTCAGACAATAAGCACATGCATTCCAAATGTTTCTGTTTTGCTTCAGTAACAAGAAAATCACAGGTGTAACTGTCAACATAACATATTATCCAGAATAACATTTTTATGTCATCTAAATGGAGAATAGAAAATGTTTTTTGACAAAAGAATTCAATTCAGAATTATTTATTAAAATCCAACTCTGTGTGTGCATGTATGTGTATAAAACAACACCAGGTAGAGATAATAATGGAAAATAAATTTAAGATCTAGAACCTCCAATCAAGCAATGCACACCCTAGATAATTAATGTTCTTAACAAACTTTTTAAAGTCAAATTTTCATACTAAAAATCAAATTTTCATACTAAAAATCTGGCCAATTTATGTTTTTAGTTCAATAATTTGAACATTGCTTTCAAATTGTTTTCTGACACGTTTACTAGCAATTGATATTATCCATCTTTTTCTTCAAATTTCATTAATATATGGAATGAAAAAATGTTTCTGTTTTAATGTGCATTTTCCTAATTATTAGTGAGGTTGTATGTCTTCTAAATGATTACTGGCCAGTCCTATTTATCTGCTGCTATCTATTTATATATTGGTTTCTTTACATTGAGTTTTTTATGTTTAAGAGTGAAATTTTAGATCTTTTAAAATGTATTTTATATGTAAACTCATGTACATGTGCATTAGTCTGTTTTCACACTACTATAAAGATCTACCTGAGACTGGGTAATTTATGAATAAAAGAGGTTTAATTGCCTTACAGTTCCACAGGCTTAATAAGAAGCATGACTGGGAGGTCTCAGGAAACTTACAATCATGGCAGAAGGGGAAGCAAGGACCTTCTTTACGTGGTGACTGGAGAGAAAGAGCAAGCGGGGAGGTGCCACATACTTTTAATCCATCAGATATTGTGAGAACTCATTCACTATCATGAGAACAGCAAGGGGGAAATCCGCCCTTATGATCCAATCACCTCCCACCAGGCCCCTCTTCCAATTTGACATAAGATTTGGGCAGGGACAGAAATCCAAACTATATCAATATGTATTGCAAATATTTACCCAACCTTTTCACTTGTTGTTTAATTTTCTCTACAGCATATATTGTCACACAGATATTTTTATTTTAATGCATGCTAACATAACTATCTTGTTTCTTGAATTTGCATTTTGAGGGTTACTTGATATTGTCTTCAGTTCTACACATCAAAATTATTATTACATTCCTCAGTTACATATATAATGTGATATAGATTTTTAAAAGGAAATGTTTGGGTCTTACTGAAATTTATTTTTATTTTGTTTAGATTTTAGTGTAGAGATTTAACTTTATATTTTTTCCTAGATGAAAGTCAGTCAAATATTTCAACATGATTTAATGTCTTTTCCAGTTTTTCTCTGAAAGAAATTCAGAACAATTAAGGAGTACATTATGGAATGATCTTATCTAAGAATCAAGGAAAATTGTTATTGAATGAAAGGGAAAAAATCACAACCTCTTTTGGGTATGAGTACAAACGAATGAAGGGAGATGAGCAGCAGCAGGGCATTGTAGTTAGGTAAGGCTTATTTGGGTTAATATTTTCCACCCCCTAAATGAGTTAAGATGCTTTAGCCTCAAAGTATTCAATTCAGACCTAGAAGAAAGTTGATCCTTTGTTATTGGTTTACAAAAGTGTGTGTCCGAGATGATGGACAGCTCCAATGTTGCAGCAGCGAAATAACAATTTTGAGCATTCTGGGCCTGTTTACATATGGGGTGGGCATTGCTGAGTGGTGGCAAGTAACAGGAAACAGGCTTCTTGCTTCTGTGGTCTGTGGTGGGCAGTGATGTTTGCAGGCTGCATGTGGGCTTCAGGCATTTGCCAGGGTGGGTGGTGGGGCTGTTTCTCTGCATGAGTCAGAAGGAAGAGACCCAGCTGAGTATATGAAATAAATTCATTCCATTTGATTTCTCTGTTGCAAGAATACTATAAATATTAGCTAATGTTAAAATTGATGTCTACCAGAGATGATGCTAAAATTTACAAATATATATTTGGTTAAGATCTCTGAAAGAGAGATGAATAGATTGGGATCAAAGAATAAGCAAAATAAGATATATTCCATAAATGAAAGTGTAATAAATTTTATTCACTATATGAATGCTATTTATCTCCCTGGCAACATATAGAATATCTTCTTCAGAGAATAAATTGCTTCTAAGCCATCTTAGAAATTTTCCTTTTTTTTTCAAAATTTCAGATTACAAAATATTTCTATTTACATAATATGGTTTTTGATGAATTGCTGAAATTTGTCACTTTAACTTTTTGGGTTATTTAATATTAAGTGTAAGAAACTACTTAGGAAATATAAATGTTATTTACCACATGATAAGAAAAAGATATAGTTTGATATATTTCAAAATTTTTATTTCATAGAAAATGTATCATCATAGATGTATCATATCACCACCCTTAATCTTTGCACCTAGGTTGGCTGAAGTCTGAAATCCTCAGTCTAATTTAAGTTTTTATTTTAGTCTTCTCAGGCACAGTCTTGAATCATGAAGTTGTCTTCATTTGTATTAGCAATAGTTATGAATCCAATTTAGCACCATGAGTGACTTTCATCTTCATCCTTACTGATATAAATATCACAGTGTACTAGGGATTGAAGAGAAGCCTGCAGCAGAATCAAATACAGGAGAAAACAACCTATGCTGCACCTGGGTATTTGCAAACCTGGAGTATTTGAGAAGAAATAAATTGTTTTAGTGCATCTTCTTGATAAAAAAAAAATGGCAAATTGAGAAACACAAAAGATAAGTGAGTTGGTTGATAAGGCAAAGCTAATTTGTTCAGAACTGGGACAAGCCCCCAGTCCCCTGAATTCCAGTGTTTCAGGATTCTTTTCTGATATCTAACTACCTGCTTAGATATAACATATTCCAATATTTGAATTTAAATAACATTGTATAATTGATACTCTTAATTCTAGACAATATCTTAGAGTGAAGTGTGTATGTTCTAGAGAAATATGATATATTTCACATCCTGACTATTGTTCCCTAATTGTATGACTCTGGCAAGTTACTTAACCTCTCTAGATATGTATTTCTTCCATTGGCAAAAATAGAACTCCTAGTTATTAATGTTATATCTACCATAAAATCCATCATAAGGCTCAAATAGGGTAATCCCTCTAAAGCACTTATATTAGCACTCAACACGTATTGATCAAGATAAATGTTGCTGATTATTAGTTTCATCACAGTCTCAAACTTTGCTATTAAGTGTGACTGTTCTTTATCACATATTATTTTGAACTATATTTACTTTATCCCGTATATAGTGCTCTCTGATGGATAATCTGACTCATTCTGGAAATTAGCATATACCCTAGTCAGATGTATGCTTAAGGGTTGAGGTGTCTTCCTTTGAAAATTATAATTTAATATAAGTTGTTTTATATACATTATTAAGAGAGACATTTAGCCTACTTTTATTATTCCACAAATACTTATTAGCTTGCCTTCTAGTGAAAGAGACTGTCATTTGCAAATATTTCAATCTGAAATAAAATCATAGGATATATGTGCACTACACCTGCATTTGGAAGCATGGTACATATGTATAATAAATTGTATGTCTTTGGAAGTCTGTGATTTAGCTTAATTTAATTTTTTTAATTTTTAAATATTTTTCATTAATTAGTTGTGATTTCTCTATACATTATGCCTCTTTTGTAACTATAGAAATGTCTAAGTATATTTCAGAAATTTATATTTTAGCAATTTGGCTCAAAATTACACTTTGCTAAGTACTGTTGTAGATGCTAGAGATAAAATTAAGAAGAAATGATTCCTCAAAATGTTTAAATACCTCCTAGTTTATTTATATTGTGTTAGAGAACAAATGCTTATATTTGGGAATGTTAAAAAGGCACAGCATAAGGAAGGAGATAATCAAAGTTGATAATCTGAATGGTTTGGGATTTTGTGTTTTCTATCTGGTAAAGTTGACTTGATTTATATGCAAATTCCTATTTTTTGCATATGAAACTGAAGGTAGAGAGTCAGAATAAAGAGGCAACATGGTTATCCGTCTGGTTTCTGCAGTCCGACTTATCTGGGTACAATTAATCCTTATTCATCATGCATTTGGACAAACTAGGCAAATTACCTAACTCATTCAAATCTTACTGCCATCATAACAAGAGTATGCAACAAATTGTTATATAGATGAAATCAAAAGTGATAATTCATTAAAATGTTTTAGTACAGTATCTGGCATATGGTAGGTACCCAATAAACATTAATTATAATTTCATGGATATGAAATGTTGGCATAGATATCTATCACCAATTGAAAATATAGTGTTTCTTTCATACCTTAATTTTTGTTCCTTTGTGTACTCCTCTAATCCCTAGTAAAAAAGACTAGACAGTCTTATAACAATAAGACTCTTTTAAGTGGCCTCCCACAAAACTTATTACATTCTTGAGAAATACTTCCATTTCAGGATTGACATAAATTCATGAAAATCACCCTAAACAGCTGGGTAGTACAGAATAAAACAGTGACCTTTTGAACTTACATTCTTAATATTCCTGATTACAAAATATTCTCTTGTTTCTAAGAATAAAGTCAATGCAGTTATTGTTTTTTATAATATAGTTGTTAATTTTATAAAATATCTTCCAAATTCTCTTACAGTATATAATAAAAGGAACTCTATTTTTGTAAGTTCGAAGTCAGATAGGGCTTTTTGCCAGTGACACAAAATAGAATGCCATTATGTGTAACAACACGCAGCCCATTATTCAAGGAAAAGCATAAAGGATCAAAAACCCTACTGGATTAGAAATGCTGAATATCGTCCTGTAAATATTGACTGCTCAAAATCTTATTTAAAACCATACTATCTAAGCCTGACAATGGTGAGCCTGATCAAGAATTAACTAAATAATGTGCCGTGGGAAGGAAGTAATGTTCTGTCTGTCCAAAAATTCCTTCTCTAACTTTAACAAAGCAATATAAAGCTGATACCACAAGAGAAAACAATTTTGATTATTATTTATTAATTTGATATGAGTTCAGTTGTCTAACATGGTAAACTCGTTTTCACTCTTGCGCTTTGAAATATGAGGGTTTAATGAAAGCATCTACATAATTCTAAATTACATTATGATAAAAACATTTTTCGTCTTAGCCAACAGTGTCTTCTTTGATTTAGAAACAGTGGACCATTAAGACTGGAGTAGATAAATTGGATTAGGTTAAGGAAGGGGATGGAAAGGAAATATGAATTGAACAACAAAATAATGTAATGTATCCTTTTAAAATTATCTTGAAAAAATAAAAGTAATCTTTAATATTTATCACAGGTATGGATTTTTTTATTATATTTCAAAGAGATAGTAGTAATAACTGGATATCCAAAGCTTCCTTTTATATTCATTTCTTTTTTTTTTTTTTTTTTTTTTTTTTTTTTTTTTAGATTTTGTAAATGTATCCTGCAGACTTTCTTTTTACGGGTCTGCTACATAGGTATTTTACCGAAGGCTGCAGTTTAGGCTTCTAATATACCTGTCACCCAAGTTGTGAACATAGTACCTGGTAAGTACTTTATCAATTCTTCCTCCCTCCCACCTTTTGGAATCCCCAGTGTTTATTGTTCTCATCTTTTTGTCTGTGTGTGTACAATGTTCAGTTCCCACTTTTAAGTAAGAAGGTGTGGTATTTGATTTTCTGCTTCTGCATTAATTTGCTTAGGTAGAATAGTTGAATTATTCAATGATACAAAAATATTAATATTAAAATTATACATAGAGAGGAAAGGTCTAAAATTAAGAATCAAAATCTCCACATTAATAAAATAGAAATAGAAGAAAAAATACATTTAAATTAGGCATAAAAAGGAAATAATAAAGATAAGACAACTAGAAAAAATGGCACATAAAGAAAAATAAGAAAGCCAAAAGTCAACTTGTGAAAAAGTGTAATAAAATTAATTATCTCTTCCCTAGACTGATCAAGGGAGAAAAAGTACATGCAAATATCCAATGTAATATATGAAAAATAAGGGTACTTCCCAACTCACGAGACTAATTCTCATCGACAAACTGATAAAAGTGTTATGAGAGAAGGAAAGGGTACAATTATACTTTTCAGAAACATAGATACACAAATTCTGAATCCAATAATAGGTTAAATCAATAAATGTTTTTAAAATATGATACTTTATGATCATAAGGATTTATCCCAGGTATTCAAAGGTAAACATTTGAAAAGTAACATATAAAATACATGATGTTAACAGAAAATGGAGAAAAAGTATATGATCATCTAAAAACATGCAGAAAAAGATTTTGACAAAATCCAAAAGCCATTCAAGATTTAAAACTCCCAGCACATCACAGACAGAAAAGCAGTTCTACAATTAAACCAAAACTCAAGGAAAACTTATAGCTAATGTGATAGCTATAGCGTAGCTATATAATAGCATTAATTGTAGTATTGAATACATTCTTTCACAATCAGAACAAAAGCAAATGTATCCATCACACCATTTTCATTCAAATAATATTAATTTCTCAATCTGTCTTTGAACTGTGTTATGCGGAAACAACATTTGGGGAGAGGCTCAGGGACTCTAGGCGGAGAAAGATACGAAGAGGCTGAGTGTGTGTGTTCCAGGGTATGTTTTCAGTATTTTCTGTGTGTGATCTTGCTTGTGTCTGTTTTTTTTTGTTCATATTTTGGATGTTTTTTGTTTTGTTTACACACTCAGCCTCTTCGTATCTTTCTCCGCCTAGAGTCCCTGAGCCTCTCCCCAAATGTTGTTTCCGCATAACACAGTTCAAAGACAGATTGAGAAATTAATATTATTTGAATGAAAATGGTG